ACCGGAAAGCATGGGGCCAGAAGAGAATTCCACAAGTAAGAAGTGTGAGAAAAGAAACTGTTATAGTTATGTCTAGCAACTGTAAATTGTTGAGGATCACATTCTATAATGTGAAATGATCACATATTATTTTATTATATGATCATATTATATGATGTGATATGAGCATATGCCATAGGATCATGATTATAAATGATCTTATATGATTATATTATATAATGTGATGCAATCATATTATATTATCAGATGATTATGATTATGGAGGATCTTATATAAGCATATAGAAACAATTACCGGAACATGTTAACAACTAAATGATTTTCATTTGAATAAACACTAGATAAATTAATTACAAACATTATTTACACTATTCGGACTGTTATCCTCATCTTCATTACCATTTTCACAACACTCCGGCCTTCTTCAGGAGATTGGAATTTTGAACCGAACCCATTATTTTGTCCACTGAAGTAGACTGTTCTAGTTCCACATGCCATGCCTCTTCTAGATGTCTCAGTTATTTTCCTTTAACTCATCTTTCCAAGTTTTTGTTTCACCTGGTATTGAACTCACAGCTCTTTGGGTCGAGTCACTGATCTAACCAATTGCCATGTGTCCTTGAGGAATATGGCAATGAAGATGAAGATAACAGTCTGAATAATGTAAATAATGTAAGTAATCATAATACCTCATCTCAAAGATATAGACAGAGATAAATTAATTTTTTAATATGTTAATGATGTTTTTAAAAACATCAATACGCATCAGTAATCATGATGACACACCAGCTTAGAAATTTATGTGAAAATTCTGAGATTGCACAAACAGTTGTGACCATAGTATAAATAAAAAACCTGAGAGAAAATGAAATTATCCTAATATGTAGGCTCCCTGATTTCCTTCTACATCGTTCTCTTGAACAATGTATGTCCAGAAAATGTTGAATTGTTTTAAATATATCAAAAACCAGCTGTCAACCTTCATGTAACTTGGTAACCAGTCAGAAAGGACTATATTTCACATGCATGAAGAGACTCTACCATGTGGTTACTCAGTCAATAGCAAAACGTTTCTGTAGTAGCTTGTGTAATGTATGACATTTACATTCACAATGACCTAGTAGATGTTTTTACCTACTTTATCTGTTTAAGTATTTATATGAAATTTCTGCAAATTCCAGAACAATTTAAATTGATACAATAATATCTCTTATACTCTTGACATATGTGTAGATTCTTTTTCTTACATATAATCATGGGAATAGCTTTTACGTTAGATGCTAGTGTCAATGCTGTGTTCCAAATGTGTAAATTCTTGTCAGTACTAAATCAAGATAGCTTTTATTGTTGGAAAAATTCACTCTGGGATCCTCATGCCTAAACTCTGAAATATGAGTTGGATTAATTCATCAAAGAGCATCTGGGATTATTCATTGCTGAACTATTGTGCGGGGATTTAATTTAGTGCACTAGAAATGCAGGCATGTGTAAAAGTGGCTTTATCTAATAAATATCTATTGATTCTGATATAGATAAACAAAAGAATAAAATATTGAAAATTCATTATCAACAACGATTTTTAAGAAGCAAATGAACATAAGAAAAAACTTTAAAAAATATGCGTCATATTCTGAATGAAGTTATACTGCAATTGCATGTGAGTGATGTCCTCATTAAATTAATTTTTGCATGACATTTGTTGGTTCAGCAAAATCAATGATCAGGCAATATTATTGAACTACAGTGGGGAAAATAAGTATTCAATACATGCCACCAAAACCAATTTATTGTATTATTTATCTAAATATATAATAAGAATTTATCTCAAAATGACACCATTGTATGTATGGAATACTTATTTTCTCCATTGTATGTACATCTTGTGTGGGCAGTTAAAAGCTTATCAACATGGAAATCAAGTATGCTAAGTTTTGAATAATTGAAAAAGAAATGGAACCTTCTTCCTCCAACTATGAGCTAAATAGCATGGCAGATACTGCTCTCTTGCCTTGAGTGGTAGCCAATCTAGGAGAAGGAAAACACTGAATTCAAATACGAGTAAATAATGAAAGGCTGGGTTTTGTTAACCATGGTTGGGCAAATGGTCAAACAGAAGGATAAGTCTGAAGTCAAACATTCATAATAGGGCAAGCTGAGGTCTTTTTCCTTGTTAAGACAAGCAGCCTAGGAGAAGGACTAGTCTGAATTCAATCTCATAAATAATACAGCAGACTAAAGCATCTAGTTTAGGAGAATGATAACACTAAATTCATAACTTGTAAATAGTAGGTCAGATTGGACTTTTTAGTATTACCAAAAAGACCAATCTAGAAGAACAACAACTCTGAATTCAAAACCAGCCTGAAGTGGAATGTACTCACCAGGCTATCTTTCTTTAGACACGCCCAATATTTTTCAGGCTGCAGTTTGTGTTGTCAAGCTGATCCTAATTGGTTACAAGAATTGAGCTCTTACTCATGATCAGGATTATTATATATATAATGGAGGCACAGTGGAGTAATGGATAACGGCTTGGATTGAGGAATCGCAGAGTCGAGTTTGAATTCCAGTCGAATCCATTACATTCACTTACGTGCTAATACCCTTGGGAAAAGTATGAATCCTCTTCTTCTCCCTCCATCTATGGGTAAAATAGCAGGACAGACTGAGTTCTATAGCCTTGGGTGGCAACTGGTCTAGGAGAAGGACAACTCTGAATTCAAAACCTGCAGAGGGTCGTTTTGGAACCTTGTGGCACTTAGTGCACCAGGTCTCTGTATTTGTGTGGATGGTCCTGCATGAAGCCTTCACCACTATAATCAAATCTCATGTGTCGTTGGGCTGTCGGTTTCCTGGAAACTGATCTGCTTGACCCTCATATGTCAAAATTGATGGGAGAGTCGACTATATATATATATATATACACACACACACACACACACACACATATATATATATATATATATATATATATATATATATATATATATATATATATATATGAATAAAGACAAATGGAAAACTTTGGCAACCTGTTTCCTGCTCTGATAGTCTACATTTTGCAACAAATATTTATAAACAAATGTAAAAATGTTGTTAGTTTTTTAAAATTGTTTAATTTAATAAACAGTCATAAATATCCATCAGGTTAACTGATGCTAAGTGATATAATTTAATGTTTAATAAGTGAAAATGAGTAAATGATGTTGTTGAATTCTTTATGCAATTAATATTTAAATTATTTTAGTATGGGATAACTTTATGTATTATATATTTTTATCTATCTATGTATGTATATATGGGCATATGGGCAAACAATTGGAATGTTGGCTTTCTGACCATTGAGATACAAGCTTGAGTCTCACCTTGGTTGATTTGTCAAGAAGGTGTCCTTGATATTATCCATCTGGTTGCCCGAACATTTGTGAGTTAAGTTGGGTAGATGAAACTGTTTTGGGGGCTATCAATGATTTTGCAAGTGCAAAGTCACATGTCATTATGTCTGAAGGTTTGAGAGTACTCGCATTGTTCAAAATGATGATCATCTCAGATGACACTCTCTCTCTTCCAGAAACTGTATCTAAGGTTTGTTCAGTATTGCAGTATAAATTACAGGTGTGATCTATGGGTGTTGAATGAACAAAAATGTGCCTGAGCAAGCATTTCCCATAGTAATTGGTTAGTCAGCCTAGCAGACAGGTAGACAGATGTGTTTGAGTACATGAGTAACCAGCCATTGCACACACACACACACAGAGACACACGCACATACGAGATATATGCATATATATCTTGTACTACAGAAACTCATTCTGAAATTATAGATATAAAATAAAACATTGAATAGACTGATCTTGTTGATGGAATTTAATAAAACTGGTTTAGATACGGACACAAACAAACATCAGAAAATATTTACTCGGAAATAGTCCATTAGTTGTCCAGCTATAACATATGTTTTGGTTTAAATGTACAAATATATACAAATATATATATATATATATATATATATATATGAATGTATTGAGTGAAGCATGTGTTTGTACACACTCATATCTGTGCCCAGTTAAAAATAATAACTCTAATTTGCCAAAATCTCAATACTTGTATTTGCCATTATAACAACTGAAACAAAATGCACAGCTAAATAATATGTGTGTATATATATATATATATATATATATATATATATATATATTGCAAATTCAGATATATTTTTATTTTATGGAGATATTTCAGAACATTTGTCTTTTGTGTATTCAGCATTTTTAAAATTATTACATTGATGCGTGTGCAGTCTGGCATTGCATGATGTTAGGAGAGATTCCTGATGGTAAAAACAATCATTGAATCATTTAATTATTCTTCTTACGTCGTATGTTCTTGTATAAAATTTTGGCTTCATGTTTCTGGATGATTCTTGATTATGGAAATCTCTGAAAAGGATTTTCAATTATTATGGAACATTTGCCAGTGACTTAATTTGATAATACATAGATGCAAGATTATAAATAATTTTAAAGTGTATCTAAATTTCAAACTCCACTGTAGGAGAAGGCTGAGATTGCAAATGGAATTAATTGTATGTAGGAGGAAGGGGTATACGAATGAAACAAACAAAACAAAAAATGGCAAAAGAAGAAACTGATAAAAGTAAAAGAGGAAAAGACAAAATGGTAAGCAAAGTAGAGGAAAATAGAGAAAGATGAAAAGGAACAAAAGACAGGGAAAGAGGATAAAAAAAATCAAATGGAATGAGAGGAACAATTTGAAAATTGATCAAAGAAAAAAGATAAAAAGGATAAAACAAAAATCAAAATCAAAGAGAAGGTAGAGAAAGGGGAAGAATAAATGGAAAGAGAAAAAGAGGAAGAACTTTACAGTGAAAGATGGTGAAAAATTGTAACTAATTTAAGGGAAAAAGAAGGGGTAACAGAATGGGACAGAAAAAAATTGAAAAACAAAGAAGACAAGAAAAGAAAAGGATAAAGAGGAAAAGACAAAAAGGAAAGGTAAGAGAGATTGGGAGAGAAAGATGAAAAGGAAAAGAATAAGAGAAAAGGAAGAAAAATAAAAAGGAATGATGAGAGAAAAAATTAAAAAAAAAAGTGGTGCTAAATTAAAAAGAGAAAGAAAGACAAAAAGGAAAACCAAAGAGAGAAAGGTAGAGAAAGGTGAAGAAGGAAAGGAGAGAGGAAAATAGGCGGACTCTGTAGATTTAAAAATATTAATTAACTAAAAGAAGGTGGAAGGGATATCTGAGTGAGGTAGAAAAAAATTGGATGGACATAAAAGATTTTGGATTGGTATTGCTTTTATGTCCATCGTCTTTTTCATGTTGAATTGTATATGGTCTATGTTAATTATGTTTTATGAATATGTCCTGAGGATGGTCTATTAGACCGAAACATCTGATGTTGACATTAAACATTAAAACAGCATAATCGCATATTAGGATTTTTGTTTGTTTTTTCAGTATATTTTTCTTCATATATATATATATATATATATATATATATATATATATATATATAAACTAGTTTAAAATTCATCCTCTGCATGGACTTTTAAGCAATGATAATTTTGAAGAAATAACTTTGAATTCTTCAATTCACTGAATGGAACTTTAAAAGCTTACTTTAACTTTTATTTGGGTTATAAGTCCAAATTGGGTCAAAAGATCTATTTGGTTGAAAATTTCAATTCAGGCTGAAAATTGTGTTCTTCAAATAACAAACTCTGTGGAACTTCAGTTGAGTTCAGTTCTTCAAATCACAAACTCTGTGGAACTTCAGTTGAGTTCAGTTCTTCAAATCACAAACTCTGTGGAACTTCAGTTGAGTTCAGTTCTTCAAATCACAAACTCTGTGGAACTTCAGTTGAGTTCAGTTCTTCAAATCACAAACTCTGTGGAAGTTCAAAACCTCATGTCAAGAAACCTCTCACTCTGATTCTTTGGCATTTTGAAAAAATAAAATTGATTTCCTCAATTCAGTTTTAGAGATATTTTAAACTGAATTTGAAACAAAAAATTTTAAATACACAAAATTTTTGTGTTACTTTAAACTCAATAAAAACTTTTAAATCACTAATTTTTTTCAGTTATTTCAAAATTTGAATTTATTACTGTTCCCTTCTCAATGGACAAAAATCCCAATACTGGATGTTCAAGCACCAAATGAAAGGTGGATTTTCAATCCTGTGATCATCCTGATTCTAAAAAGGTATAACATGTCTATGTAGAGCAAGTGTGGCCTCAGTTAGAGGGGGTTTCAGATACATGGATGGACAGACAGAATTTGCCATTTATTTATTTAAGAAGACATAGTTATCAACTCAGTTATGATCTGAAATATTCATTGTATAATGTTTAGCATTACTTAATATATTGGTTTAATGGCTTTGACAAAGAATAAAGTATTTTTTTTTAAAAATTAAATATTTGTAGAGTAACATAACTATTAGCTTACAGACTTATTGACTGACCTATAAATATATATATATTAAATCAATATTCTTATAACAAAAACAACCATCTATGATTAAAATCAATTATAATTTAAGGGCTTGCATCCTCAAATGTATATAAAAATACACTAAAAATACCTAAAAAACATACACACACATCACATCTTGCTTACATCATGACACTCATGGCCTACGTCAAAACACTCACTTGTTCTATGAAACTCATCATTTGTCGCTACCTACCCTGATGATGACTTAAGAAAGTAGAAAGCTTGGACCATATTTTTTCCAAAATTAACTTTGGACAATTTCTGATGGAATTTCCTCCTTGTGTGAGAGTGTTTTTTGTCTGGTGTCTTTAATATTATTTCCCTTAAACATATATGTATAAATATATATGATAGGATAAGGAACAAATAAGAAACATTTATAAACTAACATGTTCTGCTTTTATTAAAGTTTTATCCGACTATGAGATATGTTGGAGAATAACGAGAAAAAATTTCTGGTATTTTTAATTTTTGTGTTGTTTGTTTTTCTTTTGTTCAACAGACTTCACATGCATCTCTCGTGTCAAGCTGCATTCATGTGTATAATTTATGTGTGTAAATGGATCATAATTCTTGTTTGTCTATGCAGGATTTGAATGATATTCGTTTGTGTGTGTGTATCTAGTAGGCATTTTTATTTTTTGGTGGTTGTTTGCATGTTGATTTGAGGTCATTTTGTGTGAGGTTTGGAAAATCCATGTAATCCATGTAGTAGTAGTAGTAGTAGTAGTAGTAGTAGAAGTAGTGTGTAGACATGTCATAGATTCTTTAAGTATGGATTTTGTAAAAGTTGGTGATGTAATATTGTGTGTTTGGTGTGTGTTTATAGATTGCAAAATATTTATCAGTATTCCCTGCATAGAGTATTATGTTCTTTTGTAATTAGGGTGGACTTTATAAAATCAAAGTTATGATTAGTTTCTGATCTATATGAATTCTGATGTATATTTGATACCAATTGCTCTATCTATCTATCTATCTATCTATCTATCTATCTATCTATCTATCTAAAATCCAGAGATGGATATGCAATGTGATTGGTCCTGTTCTGGCATCTCATCTACTGTCACTTTCTCACAGACATGCCGTTGCTTCCCTCTGTCTTTTCTACAAATACTACTTTCATGGTAACTGCTCCGATGAGCTACTTTTGCTGATTCTCAAACTACATGAATTTAAGCATGCTACTAGGTTGGCATCTCAGTCTTACCCTTTCACTGTTAAAACTGTTAAATATAGCCGTCTATTCTAATTCAATTGCTTCATGTCTCTCACTTCCTCTTATTTGCTTTCCTGATAGCTATAATTTCCAATTATTCAAATACAATGTCAATCGACATCTTCAGATGCCTTAATCTAATTCCCTGTCCTCCTCTCCATCCTTTCCTCTATCACGCCTCTTTACTCTTGCTCCTACTCTCTGTAACCTCTTGCATGCTAGTGGCACTCCTGTCTTGCTTGGGGTGAAATGCTTAAAAAGAAATACATATATATATATATATATATATATATATATATATATATATATATATTTTATTTGGTTGGACTGATGTGAGTTTGTGTCCCTGGGTTTCACGCTTTTGCGATCTTCAGACAAACTGATTAATTTTTAAAAAATTTGGGGTTTATGTAGATTGTGTGTATTGGTGTTATTATGGGAGTGGGGGGGAATCACCGTCATGATGTCACTTATGCTAATGCAAACAGAGATGCATGTCGTACCCCCATTGAGGTACACATACACACATACACACTAACTCATCTGCCGGGGCTCATACAGATATAAACATATGTGGACAGTATGAGATTCAACATATGTATGTATATGGGTGGTGTTGTGTCTATATACATACGCATTTGTATTTTGAAATTCAAAGATCGGAAATGTAGCGAAAATTTCTCGTGAATGTCTTGTGAATGTATGCATGTCAGCAATCAGAGCATTTTTCTATTTTTCTCTGAATAATATTTTCTTGCATACATGTATATATATATATGTGTATATATATATATATATATATATATATATATATATATATATATATATATATATATAAATATATATATATATATATATATATATATATAAATGTAGAGAAATTTGTTTATAATTTGACAATTGGAAATATGTGTAGATAAGGTACAGATTCTCACTAAGATTGATGCAATTTAAGGACAATGGTGGTAGAAAAGCTATTGTCCACAGCACAGATTAGAGCAACTACAGCTTCAGCTATGTCAACATAGACCATTGGTAATCATTTATTCATAGCAGGATGATGTGTATTTGTGCCACTAGCCAGAATTTCAATTATATTACAATATAATGTACCTGTCCGAGTCATGTAGTGAGAGCTTTACCTGTAGGATCAAATGACAGTAGTGTTCTGTGATAAGTGCAGGTTCTACCTTCATAGAGGTGATGCACATATGCATGTGAAACATGGAGACTGACACAAAAACCCAAATGTCATGTCACAATTATAGCTCATCTTTGGTGTTTGTGGAGGTAATATTAAACAGTGCTATATATTATTTTGCATTCAGACTATTATTCAGCCATTGTGCCCCCAGCCTTTCTCATATGTATATCAATCTGCGTAAACTACATGTTATTCTGAATTTAACCCTTTATTCAATCTATGGGAGTAGACTGTTTGCATTCCACTACCCATGCCTAGGGATATCCTATCTCATTTTAAATACTGTTCAGTTATTGCTCATCTTGTTTCCACAGAACCCAAGTACACACTGCCTGGCCCAGGGATTGAACTTTAATCCACAAACCAAGGCTCTAATCCACTATGTTATTGTCCTGTATGTAAATAGTGCAAATAATGGTAACTCCTTATCCAAGAAATTCACACAGAAAGTGCCATATATATCCAAAACTTTGTTCATCCTGTGCTGCTGCCATTTCTGTAACAGGAAAGCAATATTTTGTTCAGCAGGATAATGCCCACCTGCATGATGTCCATGCTACTCAAAATTTTTGGCAACTTCTCTAGCTGACATGAACACCAGGCCTGTGTTCCATTGAATATATATGGAACATAATGAGATTTTGGAAAGCTGAAGAGATGAAAAGTTGTCCTTGTATCATTATTTAACTCATCCAAAAAAAGAAAGGATAGGAAAAGAATAAAGCAAATAAAGTGTAAATCAAAAATTTTCTATTCCAAAAATAGTTCAGTTGATTTACAAACATTTTTTCTATTGTTTTTAATCCAGATTCATTGTATGAAAAGAGTTTTTTCATAAAAGGAAATTGACTAGAAACAGGAAGATTTCTTATGGACTACTTTGATGATACCTGTTATTCAGATTATCATGCAGACTAATATGTTGCCCTTTCATTTATACCTGGCACACAGACGTAGTAGTAGACACAAAATATACATGAATATTTAACAGAAAAATTCTTGGCTCTATTTAATATATGTTACTTGAAAAGTATAAAATTTGTAATAATGTAATAATACAAGCTTAGTTTGAAAGTTTGTAGAGTAATAATATGTTTATATACTGTGTCAATTTTTTTGTTCTGCATGAATTATAAGTTAATTAAATTTTATCTAAATTTGGTCTCAACTCAGTAGGTGTATAATATCTTATTAATAATTTTCATTAAAATGAGATTTTTATTTTATCTGAAATTGATTAATTTATTGAAAATGTTCTAATAATGTGTT